AGTAAAGTGTTTCCGTTTTCAAGCACAGAAATCAATAGAAAGTTAGGAGACCTGATGGGATTTAGGAGTCTCAGCATCTATTTGGATGTGCTTCAGCTGTACCAATACTGCTTCCATTTAGATTAATGATTAATGCCTATTGATTGCAATGAGATAAAATCTACTTCAATGTTCCTATGTGCCACAGAAAATAAACTTTTTTACTGGTGTGAGTACTTTCTGGTTAGTTTCAGGCAGCTCTCTTCGGGGAACAGTAAATGAAGTGTTACAGAAGTGTACTATGACCCAAGTTGAGCAGTGAGAAATAATGTGCTCTTTATGGTTTGACTTCAGTCTTTGTTTATCATCTTTCATTCGGAGATTTGTCACTAACACTTCTGAGACAATTAAAAACTGCACTTACGGACATTGTAGAAGTGGATTATTTCTTATGATCTAAATGGTAAGTGGGGAGAAAGGTATAGGAAATGCATATTGAATGATATCGAGGGAAAGAAATACTGCCCATCCAGCTATTCTGTAATCATCATCCGTCCTTGCAAGGTCTTTATTAAACTTGCCTTCTCTTGACAATTTCAACAGTCAAGATTACTTCCCAGTGCTCTGATCCCAACTATTGACTTTCAGCTAATGCAAAAGAGTACATTGCCTTTTTCATATGATACTTCCCAGTGCAAATCTTCTAGTGTCTTCATCTTGATGCCTTTATAAATCTTTCTTCTGGTTACTGTTTTTCCAATTTGTGTAGTTGAGAGATACTAATCAGTCACCATGAATTTAAGGTCCCACAATTAATCCTTCTTTGGCAGGACACTTGTGGGCTTACTTTACTCCATTGACTTTAGTCTTGAGCTGCAATTTTCTCACCACTTTTCTTGCAGCTTACTCAGTTTGGGCAGGTGGTCCAAAAGAGAAGGGATAAAATTGGCTGTGTAGTTTTCGTGAATAAAGGTACCAGAGATTACAACTGACTATATAGTATAGTTAGTATACTACAAAGTATGTAACTTATTACCAACTGTCAGCAGTTTAGATTTCAAGAGTCCATTTACTAGTGAGTAATTTGTTTTCATTAGTAGTGTTTAAATGACTGTGGGCTATTATAGCTGTAGTACCACTTACGCAGTGGCTTGTTTCTGTCATATAAGCTTCCCTTTCCTATAGAAATACCAGAATTGCCATATGCAAGAGGCCATTGGTGTGTAGTGTTTGGTATGATGGTGTTCCCTGATTTCCAGCAGTGGTTAGTACTTTCTGTTTGACAGGAGAAAAGGTAGTTATGGGACAACCTGCATCCAAAGACTACCCTCTTTAACTCCCGGTTTTAAAGGTTGGTGGTTGCTCAAACTTGAGAGCTTACACATCTTACAAAGCTCTTGGAGATTTTTGTTGTTACTTTTCTTTTGCAGGACTTACTGTTACAGCTGGTTAGTCTTCTCGCTAGAAATACATGTTTTGAAGCCACTGATTTTGTGGTATGTTATATCTCCTGGAAACATTATATCTTGTTTTGTACACAGCTTTTTTTTTTTGCATGTATTCATGCAATTTTGCATAGGCCCTTTTAGTCTTTCTCTTCTCTAGTTGAAAATAATGTTGTGTCCTCTGTATAGGTTTTTTCTTTTCACTTTTAAAAGCCAAGTTGGGTGACATGATTAATTATTGACAAGTTGAATTGATATCTGTCTTTAGCTGAAAGTTAAACTGGAATTTTGTCATTAAGGAAATATACTTATATGTCAGCAAGAAAACTTTTTAAAACACAATCGTGTGAATAAGTTTGAACTGAGAACTTAATAGTGAAGTGGAATAGGCTTCTCAATTTGTTAGTGGGCTAAGACAATTTAAATCCTCTTCACTAAATACAGAGTAGGAGCTTCATGATAGAGGTAAAACTCAGTTTAGAAAAGGATAGAAGACTAGTAGCAACATGAGTAAGGCAGAGACCGTAGGAATGCACTCCACACCTTCAATTGTATTTTACTGAAAATCTGTTCTATTTTAAGGATTCACTTTAAAATGGGAGAGTTTAGCTTTTCACTAATTATAAAAACTACGAATCTGAATAGTATTGACCATTGTAGTATCGAAATGTTTCGATGACACCATGAAATGTGTTGTGAGCAGAGTCTTCATAGCATATTTACAGTGTGTTAAAGCAGTTTCCCAGAAAAACAGACAGGATTATGTTTTGGTCAGTGGGGGAAAGGTGGCAGTAAGAAAAGCAGTCAGGCCAAAGCTATTACCTACTGCCAGATAAGCAGAAATGCTCATTTTGCTTGATATGACTTCCAGTAAACTTTGTCATAAAAAGTGGAGGAAAGAATGAGACATGACAGTGAGTTGATAAGTGCTTTCATCTTCACTCCTCTTAATGCTTGCTTGACACTTCCTTGGCAGTGTTGAGCTCTTGTCCACCCTGGCATCCCTAGGAGATGTCAAGAGTTTGTTTCATCCTGTGCATGCCCCTGCCCTGTGTCTCCAAAGAGCTGGACTATTGCTTGTTTGGAAGATGTGTACAGAATCTACACCAGCCTTATATGTAATGCCTCTGCGCAGTGATCAGTAGAAATCCTAAGGTGCCCAGGAGATAGATGATGCTGTCTCAGTTCTAGTCATGGAAGGCAAAAAGCCTTTCCATGACTGAAGGGAAACCACCTGTGGTCTGTAGTCCTGCGTTTACAACCTCTCCCCTTGGCCAATTTAGTGGGTGGATTCCATGTGTCTGTGGCACAGTGTGTAACCTGGAGGGTGAGTGCATCCAGTACGAGGCATCAGCTTTCTTTGAGCACAGTTACTGCATGTGCAAAGTTGCTGAATTAAAGAAGCAGTGCTTTAAGCAGTGACCTCCTGAAACAGATTCCTTGAGAGAAATTGTTCGAGGAGAAATTATACTTGACTTGACTGTGAAGTAACATGTGGGAGGTCATTTAAGAAGTAACAATGTCTGAGCCACTAAGCAATAGTAACCACAGTACAATTGCATTCTGTATCCTCAGGGAGAAAAGACATAGAGAACCACAACAGAATTATACAAAGTTGGAGGGAGATTTGAATTGAGTGAAGTGCATTAACAAGGAATTTTAGTTATGGTATTTTTACTTTTTCTGACAAAGTAATATGGTTATGTATTATGTGGAAGGTATTTAAGGTATTAATAGAAGTCATAAATAGATAAGAATAAAATTAGAATCAGGGCCGTAAAAATGAAATAACAAAGGTCAATAGATTACTTATTCAATGAGGGTTATATTACCATGAGAAGAGCAACAGATGACAGCATGCCGTGAGAGAAAGAGGTATTAATGCAGTTGAGGTGGATTTCTAAGGATAGCTGTCCACTGTTCGATACACTGAGACATACTTTGAAACTGGTTCGCTTATTCAAAACAAAACTTTCAATATTGGGGGAAACATTAAAATCTAGCTCCATTTACAGATGACTTCAAAGCTGATAAAACAGGTCTTCAACTGTCATATGGTAGTATTCTCTTAGTTTTGTGTTTTATATTAATATATTGCATTAATGTTTAATAATATGTACATTACCATGCACAAACTTAAATCGCCATTGTTAGAACTGAGGTTGACAGTGTTACCCAGTATGAAATAGATAACAAGTAAATATTATTTAATGAAGAAGCAAGACCAATTCAAGAAATCAGTATTTACGTTGTGTTGTAAAAAGCTACCCCTACTAAGATATAGAGAATTGGTGTCCTGTAATTGTGCTTGTGTATTTTGAAATGCATATGTTTCTAATGCTTATTTTTCAAGGAATGAACTATCGGAATTAAAACACTCATAATATTTATTATACTTAAATTATCTTTATTTATCCTTTGTACAGGGACTAATACTATTAGCTGTTAAGCTTCTTCTATTATGGTTTGAATTTTTGGAGCCATGCAGTGGATCATTAATCCAATTGAACTTTTTGCAAAAGCAGGGAGACTTACTCTTTGTAACGTTAATGATGTTGATATGGATTTTATAGCTCTGCAGTTTGCTTAATTTTTCTGCATTTCCTCCATTAACAAAAGAAGATTATGAAGTGACAAAAAGAAGATTGTGCAGTAGCAAAAAAAAATGTTCTCTATGTTGACTTGTGCTATGTGGCTGGATATTTAGACAATGTCTAGTTGCAAAGGCAATAATGTGTAAAAATATTTGTTTCTACTGATTGAATTTAGGATCAAGTAACAAGAATTTAATTTATTGCTATTGTGTTGTTATATTTTCAATTTTGGTAGCTTTCTTCAATTTACAATGAAAAGTTAATCCTATCAACTACGCTGTTCGGGTAACAAGGAGGAATGGCATAATCCAAATGAAGGAATAACATAGATGCAATTGCCGCTTTTGGTCCTGAGCTGGCTCACATCTTGACTGAGCCCTTTGGAGCCTTTGGTTTTGCAGAGCCTTGCTGACAGTAGCACCATACGATGCAGTTGTGCTAGCTCTGGTCTGCAGGTGCTGTAGCTCCATTACCACAGTGCTGTGCCTAAGTCAATAAGCTGTGCTGGTCCTGAGCTAAGCAGTTCAAAAATCACTCCTGTTTCTCCGCGTAGAGATCATGGTATATCTGTAATCCACATGACCCAACATAAAAAGTGGAGAATTACTAGTGGTGGCTGTAGAACTAAAAGATGTTCTTCACCTTATTTTGCACACAAAATTAAACTCTTGGCAACTGCAGACATGGCATGAGTCCTACATTGCTATCACTTCTGTATCACACTTGCTCAGTTGTAAAGAGTAAAAAGATGGAAAATTTTACTAACTCTTAGTCTGATAGCACCTTACAGGACAGGTGATTTTTTTTTTTTATGCACTTCTTCAAGAGACAGTCTTGTTCAATGTGTTCCTGTTATTATTGCATTATATACTCTTTCATATGTATTATTGAGCTGTAAGTTTAGCAGCAGAAAAATGTTGATACTATGACGTAACAAAAAATGGGTTGTGTTAATTTCTTTTATTCCTTCATTACATTACAGGTACTGTAAGAATTGAAATGTTCAGGAACATGCAAAATGCAGAAATCATAAGGAAAATGACAGAAGAATTTGATGAGGTATAGTACACAAAGTACTTTAAACATTATGAAATATATTACAATATACTTTTGTTTTAAAATAAAAATGCAGTGTGCAAGAAACCAGTGGATAAGCAATGTCTCAGTATGAGAAATTGCATTGACAAGCAAAGCAGCGATTTAAACTATTGGATGAGGAATAACGAGCCAGCATGAGCTTTAGGAAAGAATAATAATGGAAAACCAAAAAGTAATAAAATAATTTGAAAAGGTAGTTATAGTCACTCATCTTGAGAAGTCAGGGTTGTGGATTGAGTAGGCCCTGGATGCTGAAATACTGGTACTGAAAAGTTTGTAAATTAGCCAGTTTAAGGGCATGTGTACTATCGCACAAAAGCATGGAGCAAGCTCACATCTGGTGCTGTAAGAGAGCCTAGCCAGATCTTACTCTGCAAGAAGTAGTCTGGGTCCATGTAGACCCTCATATATCTTTGTATGGCTTTAGGGATCTCCTTGTCTGTCTGTATCCTGGGTAATAAGTGGAGGCAGTAAGAAGAACTGTAGAAAGTTTTCTCATCCCACTGAAATTGGTGGTGGTATTCTGAAGTTCACCTCTTGGAACTGCCATCATACAACAAAGAATGCCAGATTCCTGAGACAGGACTGCAGGCTTGGTGTTTGCAGTGTTCTGCTCTGTTTTCTGTGTGCAAATTGATGTTTTGTTCATTCGAAATGGCAATTTAAGCCAAATAGTAACTTGACGTGAAAATTACCATTTTGGAACAGTGTTACAGAAAGAAATACTCTTTCAAAAGATCTAAGCATTTTGTTTGAAACAAGTGTATTACAATTCAGATTGGGTATCTTCTGTCAAAATAAAAATGTTCCTAATGGTGAATGCTTTTTAGCTTTGAGATTCTTGAACTGTATTTTCTTTGACTTTTTCATGTATAAAAAACTTAAATATTCTGAGTGTTCATTTTGTTTAGTGAGGAAAACAAATGCAGAAACATGAATTTTCTGTAGGACAGCAGTGTCTTTTTCTGACCAATTCTAAATGGAATGCCAAGGCTGTGATTCATAAAGTTAAGCAGGAAAACTATAAATGTGAGCACTGCTCTTTTTCAGGTTTTCTTCTGCAAGATTTCCATCTTGTTCACGGCCTTGAACATGTTTAACTATGTACTTAACTGCAGCCATATGGATGCTCCTTTTGCTGTACTCAGGTGTTCAGTCAGGGCCTTTGTGTATGGGTGGGATAGGGTACAGTGAATAAAATTTAGGTGTACAATGACTAACAAAAGGATTGTATCAAGTCATGCTACATTCTGGCTAAATTTGTTTTGCTTTTAAAACATCACCCAACCAAAGTTAATAAAATGCAGTGAATTTTTGTAGTGTAATTTGAAAACAGAATTGGATATTGTCTTTGGTCTAGCCCCATTGTACAAAATAGAACGGCCAAGGCACTGTCCAAAAGCAGAAGAACATTGATTTTGCCCAAGGGAGGATTGTCCCACAGTTGACGGAAGAAAGTATTTCTCAAAAAACCCTTTTCAAAAACTGCCAAAGTTTTTTCCTCAAAGGAGAAAAAAAAAATGTTCCTTATGCAGAGCATGACTGTACATATAAGCGACGTATCTCAAATAATTACAGTTACTAGTACATAAGCTTTCTTTCTGCATTGCCTAAAACTTTTCAGAATTTTTACAGTTCTAACAAAGTTTCCATTCTAGCTTCTGGCTTAACACCTGAATTGATTTGTGAAAGAATTTGTGGATTTTTAATATAAAGCATGAAATTGTTAGTCTTAGACCACAACCCAGTGAATATTTTGAAACCTGGAATAAACTCATACACTGTGAGCAGTGGAAAACATTTTAGAATTCAGTGCAGTTTTCTACCGATGTTCATATATCAAATGATCACAGCATAGTAAGTTTATAATTGTTATGTGACCTATTTCATATTATATGTCATATGACCTATGTTCATATTCCTAGTCATACTATTTCAGATTGGTCTGTGCCTAGCAGGATGTCATAGTCACAAAAAAGACCTGCCAAAATGTAAGCTTTTAGAATAAGAGCAGCTTACATTACTGTTCAGGGTAAAACACATAATGAAACAAACAAACAAAATCTTTCTTGGTCTTCAGCAGATTGTAAAATTGCAATTGTGATTGGCATAGCATTAGTACACTTTTTCGCCCTCTGTTTAGTGTCCACCAATTAAAGATTCAGAACAACAATCATTTGTTTCTGGGAGAGCTGTTGGTAGCAGACACCATTTGCCAGTGACAGTCCTTTGACTAAAGGCAACACAAGCTAAATTTGGCAGATCTGTATGATCCTTCCCAACCTTTCTTTTCTTGCTCGAGAAAGGAGAAGAGAACCCAGGCAGATCTACTTGCCTTCTTTCAGCAGTGCAATTGTCTGTGCTCCCTGACTCCGTGCAAACCAACTAGGCTCCTTCCTTGATCCCGTCCTACCACTGGATTTCTTTATTTTTTGTAAGTCTATAGTAAGCAATGAAAGAAAGGGAGCCAGAAGGAGACCAGCAGTGGTGGCTGGGCCAAGTGGTCATCTATTTTCTCAGTAAAGCACCACCATTTTCTGTATAGCTGGGAACAGCCCTCAGTTCTTCATTCTAAATATCACTGTTGGCATTTCACCTATAATACCTCTTCCAGTACCCCAGGACTCCCGAATCCTAATGTCCATCCCCCCATGTCATCCTGAGACAAAGCAGTTGCCTAGAGCTGTTGCCACCAGAACATTTCCCTTGCCCTGCTGTCCTCTCATGCCCCTAAATCCCATGTCAGTCTATGAGAAGGTAATACTCAGACTGCGTTGGGAGTAAAGGAGACTGAGACTCAAAGTTGGTGACGCTCTTGTCAAAATAATTAGGACAGTCTATCTGCCCAACCTACCTTCACTGTCATCTTTAGATTGCCATTTTCAGACGGAGACCATCCCCTTGTTAGTATATTTTCCTCCCTGTATCAAAATGTACCTAAAATGCCAGGTCTGTTGTATCAGATTAGGGTTGAAAGGGGCTAGTGCTCAGTGGTACATGTGTGTAGGTGGTATAAAGTACGTGTTGTCATATTTGTGACATGATAAATCATTTCTACAAGTCCAGAGCTAATAGGAAAAAAAAGTACAAGTGTAGTATTAGCTAGGGGAAAATCTTGCATTATCTATTCATTAGCACAGTATGCTGCCCAGAAAATATCTTGATCTCCATTGAAGATATTCGGATTTGCTGCTTTCTTTACTTTTTCAAGATCATCTCATTGTCTGGTCAGTGCTGCAGTAATCAGGTGGCTGCTGGTCCTAATTTCTGCATTTATGGCAGGGATTGAAGCATTGATTTTCCTCATCATGAGGGGAGGAACACTTGTGCAGGACTTAAATGATGGAAATAACTTTGTTCATTGTTGCCACAAGTTCAGTTTGAGACAGGGAATTCCACCAACATCCATCTGCTGCACTATTTGGGTGCTTGGCTTATGAGTACAGGCATTTTGTAGATTAATTCCCTCTTAATTCTTGTGCTAGAGTTAGCAGGTGAACAAAAACTTGTTTTGGTTTGAGTTTTCTAACCATTGGACCATCAAGTATCACATGTCAATGTCACTGATGTATCACATTTTTATTGGTATTCGAGAATAAGAGATCCAATAAAGTGGCTTTATTGTAAATTTATTCTTCCCATTTCAGCCAGATGAGATGTTCTTGGTGAAGTCTTCACATGCTTTTTGAAAGGACTGTCTAATATGTAATTGTACATTAAAAATACATCATACAAATGCGAGTAGTTACACACAGCGCTAGAGATTCTGAGGATCTATTCCAAAAAATTATATATACATAAGCATATATTATGTACGTAAGTTCACATGCAGAGTTCCCACAGGTACTGTGCAGGCAAGGACTTAGTCTGGAAATTATTTGTGAAAATAAGGTGTAAGCAGGGAGAAGAAACAGAGTCTGGGGTGTTCATATGGAGTTACTGTCAGAAAAACATTGAGGAGAAAGTTTTAGCATTTTAATTTCAGTCCTAAATCTAAATAAATATGAGACTAATGCAGGGCTTGTATTTACATGGCAAGACATTGTACCTTGCTGAAGTTCACTAGCAAGAGCATTAAGCATAAACAGACGAAGAACACATCGAAACACATGGCACAACTAATGATACTGCTACGTATTTTAGACTGTGTTTATCTGGGTTTCTACTACATAACGCTTTGGTCTGATTTACAGAAGTTCTGAGGACTCACAGCAACAATTGAGCATGCTAGGAGATAATCTTTATGCCAGGAGCTTTACAACCCTGTGAATTGTTGGGGTTTTTTTTAAACCAAAGCTCCTATTTCTCTCAAATCGGACATTCAAAGTTAGAAGTAAAAATATTGCTCGTTAAGATAATGTCATTCAGCATTGCAATGAATGAGACAGTAAGGTCATTAAGACTGCCTTGTAATTCTGTCTTTTTCTAACATTCGGGCACTTGTCTTTGCAATTATAATCATTATTTTAGTATGATTGAAATGTGTGTGATTTGGTTAAATTTGATGGACGGGGTTTTTTGCTGCAGGGGAATATCACTTATTTTAGGTAAAAGGTTATTTGGTTACAGCTCCTCTGTGCTTACGTTACTGGCTTTAAATGGTTCAGTCTGGGCGATAAGACACGTCCTGAGAGAACAGAAGTGCTTGTTCTTCACAAAAACACAGCATAAATACGTACAAATGGATTTAACTTTGATACTGCTGACTTCTTATCTTGGGGAAGAGATTCAGGATGGAACATTATTGCCTTGATGTTTTGGATAATCTGGAATTGGCTTACAAATCAGGTGACCAGAGAGATTATATTTAGTCTTTTTCATTGAAGGGGGAAAAAAGCGTTTTCTAGTTTGGGGGGGGGCAGTGTCACTGAAATGCAATATTGCTTGAAGTGAGAATAGTAAGAGCAGACTTGGAGAGGAGTTAAACTTAAATGAACTGAGTGTTCACATGCCTACTCCAATCTTGCAATAATCTTTGGAAGATAGGATGTATGAAACTGTCTGGGGTATATGAATCTGTAGTAAAATTTCCATTACTTCTATCAGAAGGCAGGTTTTACCACTAGAAAAAGGGTAAGTTTATAAGATCAAAAAAGGGCAATGTTTACTTTCTGATAAGATCTCAATTGTAAACTTGAGTAAAGCAAAGTTTGTGGGGAGGGGCAGTCAGTTAATTAGAATATTACCATGGAGTTGAAGTGGCAATGGAGAATAACACAAACCTTCAATCACACAAGCCTTTCTTTAGGTTTTGACCTGAAATACTTTGAAATATTCGTTTCTCATCCTTTCCCCCCACTTCCTAACCCAGGACACAAGGAAAAGAATTGAGTCTTGATGCATATTTTGGACTATACAGAGCTAATATCATAAGTCAAGACCAGTTATAATGAAGTCTTTGAAAAAGTGGTTTTATGCCAACAAGCTTCTTTGTTTATTGAAGACTAATGTGTTGTTTTTATTTGTTATTCTCCAGTGGCTTGAATTAGACCATGATGGCTACAACAACATTAAAATAAATTAAATGGGGAGACTTCTAATACTTAATATTTTTATTTTCTTGTTCTTCAGGACAGTGGTGATTATCCACTTACCATGCCTGGGCCACAGTGGAAGAAGTTTCGATCCAACTTCTGTGAGTTCATCGGAGTGCTCATTCGACAGTGTCAGTATAGCATCATTTATGATGAATACATGATGGACACAGTGATCTCTCTTCTGACTGGTTTGTCAGATTCCCAGGTCCGGGCTTTCAGGCACACCAGTACATTAGCTGGTAAGTAAGCTAGCACAGAGAAGAGTTTTTTCAAAGGAATTGCTACTATTTAGCCAGTTTGAGAATTACTCCTCATTTTGGTTGAGGTGGAATTTGACCAGTACTGAGAACTCTGGAAAGCTTGATCAAATCCAAGTACTGTATATGGTATCACTCTACTTAAAATACACTTTTTCGTTTGGAAAGGAGTATGCTGAGGCGCTTAATCTGAGATTCATGTTATACCCAGAGGCCTCCAGTGAATCCTGTCAATCAAAAGTGGCATGCTTATGTCTTGTATTTTGTTATTAGTTGTTCATTTATTGTGTAGAATGTCTTCATAATTTTGTATTTTAAAGTACAAATTTATTCTAAATAAGTGTCAAGAAAATTGTATTATCAAAGAATTTCAGTCCACCGAAAAAGAAAATCTATGCCTTCACTCTTGAGAAGCGTTAGGTTTGGGAGCACTGGGCCATCGTTGTAGGTCTCACTGTCTTCTACCTCCAACACAGCTGCCTACATCTAAGGAAAGCGCTAGGTATATCATTAGATAGAAATAAGCTTTTCTAGAGTGTATTTCATCAGACCTGTATAAGATGTCTCCTGTAAGATGGATGAATTGCTCTCTAGAAGTAACTATTTTTCTCCAGTTATAAAGCAATACTAGGGTGGCTAGCTTGGATGTAGGTGTCTAAAGCTAGTTATGTCAGGTGATATCTTTCTGCTCATCTCCTGTGCTGAAATACATTTTATTGGAAGATTCTTCTCCCAACACTGTTCATAGATCATGCCAAATATTTGAAGCCTTTATAGGAGACATTTGTCATAATCTGAATATTTCTACTGCCAATATTTGTTCCTGATTTAGTTAGTCTTTCTGTACTCAGTCTCTTACAATTTTGTTCAGGTTTCCAAGTGTATGACCCGGTGTCCAACAAATTCAATCAGAATTTGTTTAAAATGTCATCTCTTGCTATGAATCTAAGTAAGAGGCAGATTTCCAATGATATTGAAAAACCAACTCCAGATTTGATTGGAGTTTGATTTTAAAATTGAAAATCAAAACCTTCAACTCACAGTGGCTGAACTCTTTTGGAAACCTATCCCCTTGCATTCTTCACCTTACTCAGTAATGGGATGATAAAAACATGAATTACGCAGACGTAAGTTTCCAGGTTTAGAGTTTGCCTCTACAAATTCAGTATTCGAAGGTGAACACTATTTGAGCTGCAGATAACCTGCTGGAGATCTGTGCCTATTATTTAAACTGAGATGGAAACTGTATTCCTTTCCAGCTGATTGACTATCTTCAATTCCAGGTGATTTTGATTTGCTATTTGCTTAGATTGTCGTTGATTGTCTTATAGAAGATAGGTCACGGAGTGAGAATAATCGTGTATGCAGTCTGGTCTCTTATTTTGATTGGTTCATCTTTGTGTGGGACAGATGTTTGAGAGGTTTGATTGAAAAGACAGGAAACAGCACCGTATATTAGAGGCGTTACCCAAGACCTGTGCTATGTGGAAGAAATATTTGCTATCACTTGGCACGGATTATGTAGCTAGAAACTTCAAGCAAGGATAAGAAAATGTGAAGGCCAAGGTTCATCACAACTAGCTTCAGTTATTTAAGCCACTGCTGGCTTCTTGCATTAGATGTATATGTATTTAGTGCTTACATTAGGAATAGGAGCTGCTGAAGATCATTTTCCAGTGATAATACATGCCGTTTATTTATTTATTTTAACACACCTGAGAGCTTTGTTTTGATTCTGCACATTTCCTTGAAGCTAGTTTTTGCACATTTCATTTTGTTGCTATCCTGCAGAGCAGAGGTCAGCATGATGCCATGGAGCTCAGTCTTGATAAAGATTATGAAAATCTACTCGTAGAATTTCATTTATTCATGAAGGAGTGTTTCTGTGGTCTTTGTTTTCAATTTTCCTCTGTGCTAGCCAATTTGAATGAGAAATGATTCACTATAGCAAGAAACTGACGCAAGAGGTACATGTGGGCACTTCTAGAGTTACCAGCTTTGAGCAATAGCAAGATAAGACAGAGTTACCATAAGAGTAGCTTCACTTCTCCGTTTGTATAGTTGCTTTTCTACCTCGAAGACAATGCTGCATGTTTAGCCAGAGATAATGTGATAGTTTGTGATATGCCATGTAACCACACAGAATGTGGGAAAGACCCTTATTAATGTTTTTGTAAACATAAATTAAGACAGAAAAATATACATGAACAATATTATATCCAAATGAAATAGTACATGAAAATGCATATATATAGGGGTATGTAAAGTTCTAATCGTATTTTTATACAACTATACACTTGACTTTAGATCAATGACAGACTTACTTTCAGAGAAACAGTGCTGTGGTCCCTTGTAAACTGAGTAATCCTCAATAGCTATTGGTTAAGAGTTACCCTTAGTATGGAGGCATCTATAATGATTCTTAATGATTCTTAGTAGAGAAATGTATGTAACTCCACAGTAACTGGCTTCATGGTGTACACTGATCCTGCAGATTCACATGCTTGCTCACCGACCTTATGCACTCAGAACATGAATAATTTTCTGGAGAGGGCCTGGAGCTCAATGCGGTATATACACACTCTTTTCTGATCTTTAGATAAGCCAAGTGGCCTGAGTATTGCTTGGGTGGGAAGTGCCTTTCCAGATGGCTTTGTGTCAGGGTCAAGTTGGTTATTTTCTGTGAGTATGGATCTGCTGAGGCAATATTTTTTAACTCTGACTACAGGTAAAGAGTCATACTCTGTCTTCTGCCTTTGCAGCTATGAAGCTTATGACTGCTCTTGTGAATGTTGCCTTAAACCTGAGCATTCATCAGGATAATACACAGAGGCAGTACGAAGCTGAGAGAAACAAAATGATTGGCAAAAGAGCTAACGAAAGATTGGAGCTGCTGCTTCAGAAAAGAAAAGAGGCAAGTGAAAGATGAGTTTTTTTTTCTTCCTGGTTCATGTGCATTCCCTCCAACAGAAAGTCCAGGGTGGTTTGTGACTTGGGTACCGTAGTGAGAAGCAAGAGAATAGTTCTGCAGTCGTGTTTGTGTGATCTCAAGAATATTACTTGGGCTACATTTTTAAATCTTGTATTAACACATTCAGTTGAGTTTGTGTGCTGTTCTTCACGCACAGAAGAATTCCTACTCTCAGGCTTGTGTATATGACCAGGCAGGAAGAAAGTTAGTGTCAAGTTGTAACTGTTTTGGTTCTGCAAAAAGATTTTGAAAAGAGGATCACATGTTGTCCCTCACTGCACTGCCCATTTCTCCCTTTGATGACTGCAATTATTACATAGTGTCTCATTAGTACTTCTTTTTGTAGCTACTTTCAAGAAACACTGGAGTGGGGGCTATAGCATCTGGTCTCAGGGAGAAGAAGCTAGGGAGACGTTAAAGTCGCTTTTAGTAAGTACCAGTCTGGCATTAGGTGAGCAAAATCATTAGAAGGGTGCTGTAATCATCCCTAAATAAAGTATTATATCCCAGGAAATTCAGTTTTAGAGTTGTACTTAAAAGAAATTTAAAGATGACAAGTAGAAAGTGAATACATATACACCCAAACAGCCATAATCTGTAAATATGCCATGTAAAACTCGAAAGATTGAAAGTATAAATGACTTAAATTTAAATATACTATTTTTAATATATTAGTTTTGAATATATTTCCTGCGCCACTGTTGTACTCGGTGGCAAATTAAGGATGTCTGGGTGCTTTACCTGTATGCACCTTGGATTCTTTTAGGTATAACTTTGACTCAGAATTGCTTGACTTTATAGTCTTTGTCTGGGGATAATTACAATTACGTATTTATATTTTTATTTTACCCCTACAGTCCGTAAGACAATTTTATTTGGCTTTCATAATTCTTAAAAATCATGCATTAAGGTGAAAAGCAAGAACAATCTCTCCTGCCCAAACTGCAAGGGAAACATTTTAAATTAAATATTAAATTCAATGTCAGCCTTAAAGCATTTTAAAAAGCAGAATTGCTTTGTCAAAATAGCTGGAGCACAGTTTCTATTCCAGATTTGTTGATTGTTGCTTTGAATTTCCAGAGAAGGACAAAGTCACTAATTACATTGATTAACTTGATTTAGTATCTCTGTGTCTATGGATGTCCTCTATACTCATTCCTTCAGCTGTTCTTTTCAATGTCTTTTGGAGATGCAGTATATAATTGCTCTGGGGAGGCTTTGAAGCAATGATGCCCAGGCTAGCACGGGGCTGTGAAACCCTGAAAGAATGAGCATTGGGCAAACCTCAACTTTTTATATGTTTCTTCAGTCTCTCTCATATCACTACTCACTATAACTAATAAAAATGTTGCGTAGGAGTAAGCCAGAGAGGAGTGATGGTGATTGAGTATGTCCTCAGAGACATGGTGTTAAGCATAGTAGAGGGCCCTGTATAGAAGAGATTTATTAGGATTAGATGGCATAATGGCTCTGTGTAAGAATTCCTAACATAATGCTGTATATTTCCTGTGTTTAAATATGCTGAATTTACAATAGTATTCTGTGCTGGCACTTTCTTAGTTGATTCTTTTGATGTAGTGCCATCATAATAAACCCTCATAAGCACATACATGGGCATGTGTTTATCTTCATGAAGTTACATAGGGACAGTTGGCAAGCTAAGTGTGGCAAATAAATCTGAAGTAGAAGAGACGGAACACACTCTCTGAAGTGTTTTATTCTCATGTCATCTGCGTGCCTAATGTGAGAGCAGTGCGTGAAGGTCTAATCTCATCAATGAGATTTTCAACTAAACTGGATGATTTATGTAACAATCTGCCACAAAATAGAGGAAGTTGTGTTTTAGTTGCTGCCAGTAGTAATTCAAATTTTGTGCTTGTCATACATGTCTTTTTGAGCTTCTCGAAGTGCTAGCAGAGTCAACAAAAGAATGTTTCTCTTATTGCTACTTAGGTTTAAGGGGGGGAGTGTTAAATCACTTTTGCATTGGTAAGAGCAGGAATCCTGAGACACAAATGCTCTCTCAAGATGCTTGAAGTTAAGCACTCAAATTCAAGTACATGATCTAGAAAAGCTGAAAGCGTAAAAAGCAATTAGTTTTGGAGAAAATTCGTATTTTTTAAAGAACTGTTAATTCATTACTGAATCTAAAATACATTTGAGAATTGTATCTTTTAAATGTTAGCACGCAAAAGTAAAAGGGATCTCACATGGACCTACTGAATCTCTGATTCTCCTTCTATACCAGCTCTGCCCCAGCACGTGGATGCCTGTATCAGTTACATAGCTGATAACTTACCATGTTTATAGTGAGCTGTAAATTCCATGCAGAAAAAGAGGGAGGAAGCCATCCGTGCTGTCCCCTCATCTATGCCACTTAGTCTTGTATGGTGCTGCTCCATTTCACACTCAAAGAAATGTCAAAGTACACTTTTCTTCAGTATCTTAACCTTCTCATGGCTCATACAGTTCAGTTTTTCCTACCTTTCTTCTGTGGTGTGTTTTTTATATTAACAATTCATACCGAGAGTTGTCTGGGAGCTTCCCCTTTCCCTTTCAGGGCCTCAGTGGTTTTTTAGAAGGCCTCCTGAGACTTCGTGGTTCATTCCCATCCTCATTTTACTCCACAGTCTGTGCTAGGTTGTCTCTAGCCCCATGTTTCTGTGGATATTTGCCTGCCTGTAGCCTGTGAAGTCAACCGAGGAGTACTTAGAAATTCACGCTCCGTTTTGGGTTATGTATTCTTGAACAAGCATTTAGTCTGTCCATATTTGGGTTGAGCTGATGCTGAAAGTAGTGCTTCTCCCAGAAGCCATGTCTAAATATGCTTGTTTTGTGTACCAGCCCTTTGGTATACACAGAGCTGGTGTGCACCCAAATTTTCCCTTTCTACATAACCCCTTTTACTATGAAATTAATTTCTTTGGCAGGTGTTTGACAATTTAGTCAGGAACCCGCAATGCCTCGGTTCCCCCATATGCAAAATGGAGACAGCACCTCTTACATTTTTAGGGAACTGAGAGACTTCATTTACTGAATTTTGCAAGCTACTTTAGATCTTATCTGGAAGATACTGTAGAAATATTTACAAACATGGCTTGAAAAATGTAAACCCCTAGGTGAAAGTGTTTATGAGCTCATGCTATGCAGGAAGTCAAAATAGCTGATCATAATTCTGCCTCTGGCTTTAAGGTGTTTTATCTGTTAAATATATATCTCCATAATTATACAGGTTTTATTATTTTACACATATATGCACTCTGTACTAGCAAGGCTGTGTTGTGGTTTTCATACTGAAAATGTGAAAAAAATTTACATTCACACATGTTGTGGTATTCTGCTTTGACATTTTGACATTAAGAAACACCTTGATGGAAGAATAATGGCTTTGAGTGTAGTAGCAGTTCTGCTCCAAAAGCTGATTGTATAAAATTGGCGTCATCTTATTTAACAAAGCTGCATTTTGGTGTAATTAAGTCATACTTAAGTAAGTCATTTAGTTTAGTACAAAAGCTGACAGTATGAGAATGCTTTAATTGATTCCAAGGTGTTCCTTTAGGATGTGTTAACATATTCATTGACACAGAGTAAGCTTTCCATAGTATTTACAAACTGTGCTCATATTACACAGGAAATATTAAGTTTTTTAAAAAAACACTCTTATTTATAAAAACACGCTCATAACACCTTTTTCATTTGGGTTTGGTTTTTGTTTGGGTTTGGTTTGTTTTTTTGCAATCTAAGGCCTGGATGTCAGGTGTGCTCCAATGTTAAGCACCCATGCTCTGATTCTGGAAAGCTTCCTAGTTCAGAAACTCGGTTATCATGGGCACTGAAGTTAAAGCAACTGACACTCATACTTAAGATTGAGAACATCTCTAAGTACTTTCCTTAAATAGGACATTGAATTTTTCAGAGGGGATTCCTGATATGTAACCAGCTTCATTTCTGCAGCTGTCATTCACTCCCAGTTCTACCTGTGTAACTATGACTACAGGATTGCTGACATTACTGAACACACAGTCTCTACTTGTCTAAATTTCAGTAGCAAAAAAATGGTGATGACCACTTCAAAAGACTAATTTGAAACTAAATTAATTGATGTTTGTAGAGAATGTTAACTTTCTTCCATTAAGGCATTGTGCATATATATATATATATGTATGTATATGCACCCAATATAGGCATGTGCTGAAAAAGTAGAAAACGGTGAATCTACTAATACCTTTAATTAAGTGCTTTTCCATGATCTTCTAATGTTTCCCAATAAGGAATTGTAGAATATCAAATTATAATAAGCAGTGATCTTTTATTTATTTTTGTTTTGTTTTTTGCAGCTACAAGAAAACCAAGATGAAATCGAAAATATGATGAACTCTATTTTTAAGGGTATATTTGTTCATAGATACCGGTAAGAAAATGCATGCTACAGTAGGCTCTGCTAACAAAGTATAATCATAAATAATGTCAAGGGCAGTTTCTGTGTCGATTTTTCTTCTGATGAAATTCTAGATGCCACAAAAGCAGTATCAAAACCACTGATGTTATGGAAGAAAATCTAAGTGTAACCCCTATTAATTACACAGTAGAGCCGGCCACACAACTTTATTTTAATTCAGTGAAACAATTTTAAGGAGTTGTGGGAGACATGGAATTTGAATCTTTGTCTTTTAAAAAGAAAAGTTGTCCAAGGTGGGAGCACAAACATGACATATCTTAAGAATGATCAAATGATCACTGCATATCATAAGAGGGCAGTTTTGGTTGTTGGGTACCTCTACTCTGCATTTCCTTTTGTGTGTCTTAAGTGTAAACAGCAAATTTCTGATGTTTCCACCATATATGCTTCAGCCACAACTTCAACTTTATTGTAGGCTTTTTCCTCCTTAAATTACAGTGATCAAAAGCCTTAATTGCAGTTAACATGTATTTTTTGTTTGTTAATTGTTTTGGACGTTTGTACCAAGAACATTAAAAAGTTATTGTGGTGTTAGCACATCACAAAGGTCTTTTTTAATAGTTAATATGCTATGTCTTGTGAATACAAAACCACAGCAGGTTAGATATATTCATGTGCATGTGTGAATGTGCACATGCATGCATTTCTATTTACTTTAGAATTGCACAAACCAGTAGATTTGGACTGGTGCATGCTATTTTGGAGTATGGTTTATCAGAGAGCGGTAGTCTTTTAAAATAGATTTAGGGTTGTTTTGCTTCACAAGATACCTCAGATCATCTGCAGCATCTTGGTGAAACCAGCTCTTTAAATGTTAATTGACTTACTGAAGTCAAAAGATAAAATTCAAGGATACTAAACTATGCAATTAACCTTTGGGATTTAAGTTCCAGTTTAAAACTTGTTTATGAAATCTTTTAGACAAATGGCAGAAAAAAAAGAAAGGGTGTATGAGAAGAGGGTTAGAAGGTGAAGAGGAACCCACAGTTCAGGTGGGCAGAGGGATTATTGTAATTACGGAGAAAATCATACAGGAAACCTGGAAGGGGCCTGTGCTAAGAAATACATGAGTGTGAACAACACAGTGGATTCGGAGCATGTCTCTTCAGTACCAAAGCACGATACGTGAAAGAAAGTTTATAGCAGTACTGGGAGCATCTCTCCAAGGAGATCAGAGGTAGCAGCAAAAAGGGGTCTCTTAAGACAGGGGATCTAAGTATAGTGATTGCTCACAAAAGAACCTCTTTTCCTGCATGCATATGTCACACTTCTCTTTTTCTTCAGACCTTGTACCCTTATTCTGTCCCACACACCTGTGAGACAACTTCATTTGCTATCCATTTGTTTCTTCCCTCCTGAGGAAGTCGTGAAGGAGGGATGGTGAACTGAGAGGGTCTGAAAGTTCTGAGAGGAAATGGATGGGTATACAGAGTCAACAGGTAAATTAGGATATTAGCTCAGTATAGCACTCACACTGTTTTGTTATGAAAGCAGCTTTTATGGTGTGTAGGTAATAAAGTTTAAAGAAATTAAATGCAAAGAGTTTTTCCGTTTTTCCCCCTTCAGAATTTAGTGTACTGTATCAAACAAGAAGTTTTAAAATATTTTCCTAGTAGCTCATGCTCTTCTGTGGGGTTGGAAAAATACCTTTTGATGATCTGCATGCTGTTTCCTTTTCTTTTTCTTTCTTTTTAAATCCTCCTTTTGTAACCCTGGTTTCTTTTCATGCCTTCTGCCACCATTAGTAAAGGCCTGATTTTGCTGATATTGCTGTAACAAAGGAAAGGCCAAATAAATAAACTCTGCTTATCCGTGCCCTGAAAAAAGATGCCCAGGCTGACACTGTTAGACCACTGAAGAATGTGCTGAAATCTGTCAAGTACTGATGTGCTCTGAGCAGGGTGGGTGGCACCACTTCTGCCACTGTTTAGAGAGGGTCAGAAGAAGTAACTGCTTCCAAGTCTGCCCCCAAGAGCCACTTTTGTGAGGAGTCATCATCTCTCTGGCTTCCTTAACTTCTGTGAAGCTCCTAAGAGTCTGTTACAACATATACTCGAATATGAGTAATCTGTAGACAACAGAGAACATAGATTCAAATTTCTGCAGTCACATCTGTGCAAGAACATAGAGGGGAAAAAATACCTGTATTAAAAACAGCTAATTGAAGAGCAAATCAGGGCCAGGGCGGGGAGAAAAAAGGAAAGGATTTCAAACTATTATCTGCTTCCATAATGTTTCTTAAGCATTCCTTCTCTCAAATAGTTCAAATGCTTTATAAACTTGACATAATTTTACAGTCCTTAGACCATGCACAAGTGGTAATGATTTCAAAAGAACATTATTGTAATTATTCCCAGAGAAGAAATCCCTTGCCATAATATGATTCAGAGTCTGCCACAGTGATTCATGCTTAGTGACCTTTGTAATTCAAATAGCAAGTCCTTGATCTAAACAAAAAGCCCCCTAAAACTGTTTCGTTCAGAATGTAGCTGTCTTCCTACTAGTAAGCTAGGGTTGCAGTGAGGTTACATCTTTCTGTAGATTGGCTTCCAATTTATTGGAAGATTTCAATGCTCATTTCTCTTATTAAAAAAAAAAAAGATTTGCAGAAATAGCTAATGTTAGGTGTAATGTTTGTCTAGTGGTAACAGCAAATTTGGTCAAAAATTGAGATATTCTTAATAAACATGCAGGAGATGTACCTACCTCATGGCATATTTCCTTATCTCTTTCCTGAATCACTTTTTCTGACTATTTTTGTGTTGCTTTATGACATGTTGTTAAATATTATCAACAACGATGATGACAAGTTGCATATGAGTTCCACTCTAGGAAACAAGAGTGTTGCATGAGAAAAAGGGAGAGGGGATATTAGATGAAGTCTGGTGAGGAAGCGGGTAAGAGACTGAGAGGAGCAAAAAACAGTCAGCACAGGGAAATGAAAATCCAAATAAAATAATAGAAAAATCCTTTTCCCTCCCCCTAAATATGTTATCTTAAGGAGGTGAAACACACATCTTAGGTGACAAGAAAATGCATTACGTTTTTATGTGTGTTGAAAAAAGAGATAGAAATTACTGAGACTGTTTGTCACTTATAGGCATAAAAAGAGAAAGGCAAAAAGTTACATCTTTGTACTTAAATGAGTTTGACCTTATTAAGTTTAAAAACACACACTGCTCCCTTTCCTACAAAGCCGTGTATCATACTTCATATAAACAAAGGTGTTAGTATGGTAAGTCTTTGAGAAACACTGGGTTTAGAAATGTGTAGAGCTACATCTTGAAATTCAAGTCATGCCTTCAAACAATACAATTCCTTGGTCTGGCAGGAATGTTGGATAATCAGCTTAGTAACACATTATTGAAATAGCCATTTCAGTAGCACTTGGTGTAGCATTACTTAGAAATGGGAGTGCTGCTTACCAGCCCCTCCCAGGAGCGGGATATGCAGTGAACATTCACCAGAATTTTTGGAAGTGGGCTCTGCACGCTTATATTTTTCTTACCCTTCTTCCCTTATGGGGTCCTAATTCAGCTCCAGAAATGAGTCACAGAAAGAAGTAGAAAAGACATTTTGTCCAGTCCTCTTTATAACTTCACCTTCAAAATGTTTAGAAACAGTCAAGCAGCCCAAGAGACAGGTGTAGTTTGGTCCATTTGGCAATGGTGTATTATTGTAGAGCTGCACCATTTCATGTCCCTTGACTAGGAATTTGAGATTCCATCTCAGAGAACTGCAGAGGCAGGTGAGTGACCCTCATTTCTGTCTTTGTTAGAAAGTTTTCTCATAAACTAATTCTTATTCCAACCCATTGACTGAAACATCTTTTTTTTTCCTGTTCGTATCCAATTCACGTGTTGAGTAATGCCATGTTATTCTGAAGGTTATCTGTAGTTCTCTCTGTCTTAAGGTCAAGATTTGAGAAGCAACAACTCCAATGGTTGTATTAGGCAAGCAAACATGCATTAAGAGTGTAGTCAGGCATCCTTTTGGAGCTTCCAAGAAGTCTTGAAGCAGTTACTGCTCTGCTAGTCATCTCCATCTCTTGCCTTGGGTGTTTTCCCTCAACACTGGTAATGCTTTAAGGATTTAAGCATCCATTTCAGTGCAGATCAGCCAGGTTAGCTTAAATTGCTTTCAGTTTTAGTCTTGATTAACCTAAATGAGTTTGTGATCAAATGGACTGAGAGAACCCAGGAGTTACAACTGGCAACCACTCCAGCAAGACCCTGAGGAGCATGCCGGTCTCCACCTGACATATCCCAATTATCTGTTTTAGACTCTATGTTTCAGGGTCCTAAATACTTTTGGCCTTAATCAAAATACTTGAGGGTAATTTAGCATGAAATACCTGCTAAAGTGGCACTTCTGATGATTGTTTCTCTGAAAAAATCAACTAGTAAAACCTATTTCCTGTTTGCTATGGTTTGTCCTAAGTTTTATGGGCCTGCCTTGTCAACACAAAATTTTCAAAGGAACCAGTGAATTTCTTACCTGATCCCCTTTTGTCAAATCTCGTTATGAAGTTGCATCATGGGGAGCCTCTTTACTAAGAGTAGGAATATAGGTTGTGAATTTTGCTGCAAATAGTTTGCTAAGTGTTTCACATTCACCACATAGATTTTACTTTGCAGTTTGTGCTGAAAAGAAGGTTAAATATATTTTATGTCTAATATTTCTAGATCCAGCATTAGTTTTGGTTCCTGTGCTGGACCTAGATTCCGTTCCTTTCTAGAAGCATTTGGCAAGTAATACAAACTTACATCACTAATTTATAATTATGATAATGAATAATGCATGGATTATTCCAAAAGTACTTCCAATGCTGGTATGATTAGTATATATATGTTCTTGTGTCATCCACAAATAGTGTATATTTTCAAAAAACTAAACAATTAATAGTGACTGTGACAAGAAGCTAATTTATAAAAATTATAAGAAAAGAATTATAGTTTAATAACAAGCAATTAATCACATGCATAGCAAAGTTATAAAGGCTTTTTGGCTGTATCATGTTTGATACAGCATCGTATGGGCATGGAATCTGTGTTAGTGATTCCTGCAAGAAGACGAATGAATCTTATTGGTAATACAGTTACCTGGAAGATGGTGGTGGAGTGGGAAATGGGTGTCTCTCAAATTCTCCTGCCTCTCCAGCAACTTGAGTCTGTTTGCTAGTCTCACATGCCTTATGCATGATTTTTTCCCATTTTCAATTATACTGAAGATGTTAAATTTTTATTATACTAAATCTTGTTATTAGTTGAATAGCTTTATTCTTTCTTTTTTTTTCTTTTTTCTTTTTTTTTTTTTAATTATAAATAGCAGCTCAGAGTGAGTGTTTGTCCATAGGGCCTAGGGGATCCCGAGAAGCTTTTGAATCAAGAATCAGTTTTTCACTGTCTGCCTAGGGAAGCTTGAATGCATTCTTACAGAAAAGATAAATTTTACTGATTTTTGTCTGGCTGTGCTGTATGATTAAATAGCTGTTAACACGTGGGTTCTTTTTGGAATTGCCATTAAATCCTTCCAAAATGCTTCACAGTTAGTAAATTTATAAGGTGGTAAAATAACCTACTTGGATGTGGGGACTCAGACTGTCATACCCTAGTGGAAATGTCTTCATGGCTACTTTGTGTTGCTGCATATGTGGCTCCCCTTTTTTTTCTTGATTCATACTTACCGGTCTTTTAGATTGTTCTTTAAGTCTTGCATACTGATTCCTTCCACCTATGTTTTGTTTTAAAAGTAGTTTAAAAATAATTCCATGAAAGAGGATTGCTAATCCAGTTTAGTGTGAAGTAATATACAATTAGACATATATATATATGAATATATTCATAGTTGTAATTAAAACTTGTCTTCATAGTGGCTGCATTCTGCATAATGAATGCAGTTTTTATAGCGCAAACTCCTGAATGTAATATTTTAGCACATTCATTCTTACAGTATCTGAAATCTGTTTGAGAAATCCCTGGTAGGAACAGCTTATTTAATGCCCTAGTCTGCTTGTAACGCAGCTTGTCTACATTGTGGATTGACAGTTACCTTGGTTTTGAGGTTATAGAGTCTTCAGGGAGTTTGACAGACCAGTTTTAATGATTCTGTTTGGAAGTTGATAGAATCAGTGTGTTTGACGTAGGCAAAGAGAGAAAATGATAGTGGTTTGATGGCATTCCTACAAATTTCCCCCTAACATTCATACATTAGCTTTAAATGCATGTTTTATGCTGTTACACCAGTACAGTTTTCTCCCTATAATTTGAAATTGAATGAGAAAATCGGAGACTTGACTGTAGAAGTGTCACATCTAGTCATGTATGGTACTGCGATTGATTGCCATGTTCATGTAGGAACGGTGGTTTTCACCTTGGTATCTGGAAGATCATATACAGTAGAATGGCAGCTATTGAGGTGGACCAATTTGAAGGTTGGAAGTACATAGGCAGTTACAGTATGGAGTAATCACAGGTTTTTTACACTATTTTGTGTGTATGAACTTACGCAGTATCTTGAGCATAAGATAGAGTGCATTTTATTTATGTTTTGTAAAATTGAAGACTTCAGGGAAAATACAGTTTCTCTTATTTTGCAATTCTCTTGCTTGAAGCTTGGAATTTTTTTTTTTTCCCCATAAATTAGATTTCATTTTTGGGCTCTGTTGGTGCTGTTTTAGAATTAAATTGATGTTTATTACTTTTCCAAAAAGATTTTTTTATAAAATACAGAACAAGAGTCTCAATTATAAGCAAGGCCGCTGTTTGCAAAGCACCAGACATTCCCTTCTTCTGTACAGTGGCTCTTTATGTTCCTATTTTATTACAGCTGAAATTTTGAACTGTGAAGCAGTGCCAGCTGGAGTGGCACAAGCGATTTCTCATAGTAACAGATGTCTCAGAGATGAAATTACTAAAGGGCCAGATGGCCCTAATCCCTTTTCCCGTTGTTTAGCCGTCGTTCATTATTAGTAAATATGCCATGCTCTATGTCAGTCAGGCAGGAAAGTGCCAATCAGGTTGAAAACATTTCCATCCCTGATTTCTTTAGGTGATCTCTCCAGACAGTTTCCTGCTGCCCCTCCTCAATAAGCAGCTGATAAGTCTGCCTGAGATACGTCTTTGCCTCTTCCATCACTTACCACAGTCAGAATGTAGAAAAAAGCAAGAAAACTGGAAGAAACCAATGTTGAAATGTAAACATTCTCCTGGGTTTTGTTATAAGGGCTTTCATGCAGTGCATGAAACAAGATCTGTTTATGTACCAAATTCCATTCTGCCCCTCTGGCAGGCTCCTTTGGTTAAACCAAATAACTTTTTCCACCTTGCAGTTGTTCTACACGTCTAACTGGAGAGAGTCAAGCCTGCTAAGCAAATGTCAGTGATGATGTTTCAGAAATTATTGTCTAGAGCAGGTTTGTAGCTTGGATTCATAATTCTGTTTGAAAAGAGGGAGGTAAAAGATAGAGTAATAAACTAAGAAGCAAACTAGGGTTAGAATTTTTTGAGATAATGGAAGTATCATAGCTGAATGTAGAAATACTGAAATTATTAGATAGATCAGTGAGTTCAGGGACATAAAGGAACAGAAAATCAGTGAGACAGCAGTGAGAACAGTGACAGGCCCTACATAGTGAAGTTCATCAAAAGTAAAAGCAAAATATTATAGCTAGGGCAATGGGAATGAGAAGTAAATGTTTTGTGTCTGTAATCTGGTTAATGCTTTTTCTTTTCTTTTTTCCTTATTAGTGATGCTATTGCTGAGATTAGAGCTGTCTGTATTGAAGAAATTGGTGTGTGGATGAAAATGTACAGTGATGCCTTCCTGAATGATAGTTATTTAAAATATGTTGGTTGGACACTACATGACAGGGTAAGTATTGTGTATTACTGTACATAGCAGAGTGTACTATAGATAGCTGGTGTTACACTACCCAAGACGTGTTTAGGGTATCATCTTTGATTTGTAAAGAGATTGTTCTTTTTTCTTGCCTGTTATTTATCTTTCAACCAGCTTATTTCATGGTGTTCACTTAAATTAGGATACAGTAGTCCCAAACTGTGTGCTTGGTTCGTGTGCTTTTTGTGTTTTCAGTCTCCGTTAGAGTATCTTAATAGAAATGTTTCCATGATGCTTTTCTTCTGATTACAAGAGAAAGAGAAGTCTCCTCAGATCACCCCTGAGAACCTTTGTGTCTGAAGCAGAATGGAAAAGAGATTTCCAGATGTGTCTTCTGTTTACATTGCCCAATAGTTAGAGGAAAGAGAACATCTCTGGGTCCCCAACAGACATCGCTGGCTCCACAGCCAGTGGAGTTCTCATCAATTCATTTTCCCTTGAAGAATCTCTTCAAGGTTCTCTTTAGCTTTTTCTTCAAAAAATTGTTGGAACACCAGGTGGAAGCAAAAAGATTTATATCCAGAGGTTCTTTCCTATCTCACCACAGTTCTTTGTACTGATCGTATCCACAACATGCCTCTGCTGGGTGTCAACAGGCCTAAGTACCACTCAGTTCCTGCAGCAAGAGTAGGCCATTCCTAATGCTAATAGAACAGGACTTTGCACTTCTGGCTGTATGCGGTTTCTATACACCAGGCAGCAACTGGGACTAGCCGTCCGCCCACTCACCAAAACCACTAGAAACACTTGTTTTACTCTAAACTCTTTTGCTAACATTATCCAAGGAAAACAGATGAGACCTACCTAAGCTGTTGAAATGCTCATTAAATTCCAGCAACTCAGGCTGGAGGATTAGGATTTTAGGTGTGGTGGAGGGCTTTATTTTACTAGGGCTTTTAATTAAAAATAAATTACCCCTTGAATAATTGCAGTGGATTTTTTGAAGCACATTCTAATCCTAGCAGAACAATTCCACAAATTAGCACTTCCAACGGGAGAGCAGAATCTAGTAGTGTTGCACTTCGCAGCTCTCAGTCCCCTTCTAGTATCTGTGAAGTCCAGCCATTTCTCACATGACTCCCTTTAACCATCTGTGAAATCCAGCCATTCCTCACGGCACTGTCTGTGACTGGTGTCGGCTTCTGACACTGTTATCTGTCACATCCAGCAAGTTCTCATGTCATGTCCAATAGTTTCTCACGTCCTCTTCAGTTAACTTAACCTCAGGCCAGGGTCTAGTCATCTGCCTGCAGCCTTAAGATATCTTTTTACCTCAGGTTTTTTAAAATTAGTATGTTCTTTCATATCAGACAAATTTTAAATTACAGTGTTATGGTAAGAAAAAATGGGTTTCCATCTGGGCCAGACACAGAAGAATTCTATCAGGCTACTCTCCCGCCTCTGCTTGCTTTGTAATATTTATCGTTGCAGGCCTCAGAAGTGCCTTGGGGTTCTCAGTCTTTAAATCACTAGCTAATCTGTTTAACATCCTGATATACATGATATGTGATATTTTATTGATATAGTGTATGTTTAATGTATAGAGTGAGACAGATTGTAAGTAGAATAGGGGAAGAGTCAGAGGCAGGTGAGCCGCGTGTCAAAGGATGAAAAGGGAGAGAATGGAGAGAGAGAGACATTTGGGGAGGCACAGAAAGGAGGAAGGAAGTGCAATGGGAAGAATATATTGAAAAAAGATGGAATAAGAACCAATTAAAAATGCGAACCCTCCAAAAGTACAAGATCCCTTAACAGCATGGTTTTCATTGGCACTACCTGAAAAACTTGCCGGCCGTAGCCAAGTTTCTTGATTTTGCTTCACTTTGGTCAGGAGATAACTTTTGCTATGATCAGTACTTAAAATATTAGAAAAATGAAGGCTGAGGCAATAGTCGTAAGATATTTCCATTTCATATGAACAGAAGTCACTCCAAAATGATTAACTTCTCTGGAAGCTTGCTACTACAAAAAAGAGAGGAGGCAGCAGTGCAAGAGATTAATGAGCAGTTTCATATACTACTTCAGAAGACATACAAATTAAATCACAGGGAAGACACAGTTCTTACACTTCTTTGTAGTAGCTCCAGTGTAGTCTTTCAGAGGTAGGATACAGAAGTTTAGTTCTCTAATTTGGGAAATCTGTATATTTTGTATGTTAATCCTGTCTCTTTCCCAGTTTTCAGATGAACGTCTATAAGGCTTTTTGTTGTTTATGGATTACTCACTCATTTGAATATGGGTTTCTAGTTCTGCCTTTCTCTCCTTTTTAAGCTTCTTTTTCATTCCTGTGGATCTGGGAGCATAACTTAAAAATATATAAAACTATAATATAATTGCATAAAAACCTCTTTTTAAAAAAAAAAAGAAAGTCTTAAATCAGACTTTCCAGTCTTACTTTTCACCTGCCTCATTGATGCATGGAACTGTTTTGAAACCATGATTGTGTCTCTAGATACCTAGAAAGTCATGGTTCTTAAACCACTTCCTAACACATAAGAAAATGCCTTTTCCTTTTTTGCATGCCTCTACTTTCTGTGAAAGGAATGAACCCAGGGTCCTCTGGAACAGATGGTATTTGAATACTTCATTGTGATGGCATCCTAACTTAAAAGGATGAAAAAATAGAACATGTTTCTATTAAGATTATAAAAACCTTTTTAAAAAAAAAAAGAAAGTCTTAAATCAGACTTTCCAGTCTTACTTTTCACCTGCCTCATTGATGCATGGAACTGTTTTGAAACCATGATTGTGTCTCTAGATACCTAGAAAGTCATGGTTCTTAAACCACTTCCTAACACATAAGAAAATGCCTTTTCCTTTTTTGCATGCCTCTACTTTCTGTGAAAGGAATGAACCCAGGGTCCTCTGGAACAGATGGTATTTGAATACTTCATTGTGATGGCATCCTAACTTAAAAGGATGAAAAAATAGAACTTGTTTCTATTAAGATTATATAGAAACTAAACTGTAGTTTTTCCAAGCTTCTGAATGTTTAACTTTATATAATCTCCTTGGTACCTAATTTCCTTGATTTTGGAAAAGCTTGAGAAAATTAAAAAATGCATCCAGTGATACACAGTATCTTCATAAATGGTATTGAGTGGGCCTGTGCAGACAGAGCACAACTGCTTGCTCCTGCCAGGAATACTCCTGTCATAGGTACTAATGTGCTGCAGGACATTTTCATCTGTTTCTCTCTGGCAGTGTAACTATTTCTGTCATTAAGCAGCAAATTACCTCAAAATACACCACCCTAGAGCATCAAAATGCAACACAGTATATCGCGGTCATCCCATAAACTGTGGGATTGAAGATACCAGTAATTTAGGTCATTTTTTTACACAAGAGGAAAAAAAAACAAACAGTGCAGTCTGCAGAAACATGGTAGGGGAAAGAGCTGAGCAAATTCACTATCTATTATTAAAACCTGATAAATTTAAAAAAAGAGCAGAATACCCTTAGCCACCAAAAAGGATTGGAAAAATCCAAAAGAAGAAACATGAAGTGTGAAAAAAGAGAAATGGCTTTGCTGGCTCTCTTGTCTACCCACCTACTTCAAAAAAATACTTAAAACTGTGTTTCTAGGGGCTCAAAAAGTCATCATCTCTGTGTGATCTAAGTCTTCACCTGGCACGTGAGCTGACACATAGCAGTGCACCTTTAATTACCATTTCTGGAACTGTGGTATCGCTGAATGTTAAGAGAAGTCTGGTTCTCATCGGGAGATGGCAAACTAATACTCAAAAGTATCAACTTTATGGAACATTAATAAGAATCTAAGCCAGCTCGATGCCAGGCTGTAGATCCCTGTGAGACTTACACAAGAGTTACAGATTGTTGGTTCAGGTCCTGTGATTAGCATGTAAAAAATACGAAAATGGTCTGCTTCCATCAGGATGGATTCTTTTTCACAGGTCTGGCATATTAAAGAGAATTTTGAGTAGAGCATGACTCTCCCAGACAAATGTAGACTACCCCACACTGCTGGCATGAAAGGTGTATGTATTGCTTTTTGCTTCATTAGCAGCGGTAACAAATTTTTGCTCAACTCAGAAGTGTCTGGAGGATTATCTCAACAAAAATAGGGAAAATATGAGAAATGTTTGTCATTTAACAGGATTGATAACATCTGATGTTTTTGTTTTAGGTACTAATTTTAAATTGTAAATAAAAGAAAGCATTAACAAGTAGTAGTGCGAAGCATTTCTCATATGCATGAAAAAGAATTTTATATAACAAAAATAATAAAAATACAGAAATAATTATCTAAAAACACTTTGAGAGAAGGGGAATTACAGGAATAATTAGACTGGAGAAAGAGGCATGCATAGAACCGATGACAGTGTGGATGAATTCAGGATTCTGCAATAATCAAGTGTCACAATTATAAATTGGAAAAAACCCCAAGTAAGTATATTTTTCTGGAAGATGAAACTCAGGAGAATGGAAGGTCTTATTTGCATTATCAGCATTCTAACAACTATTTTGTCTGTTATTTACTTAGAAAGTGGCAAGGCTTTCCTTTCAGATACATTCTTTCTGTCTATAAAGCATAGATGTGACTACACAAAAATAGCTGGAAAGTGATGCTCCTTTTCTTTAACAGAATTAAAGGTATTGCGTGGTTGCAAATATTTGCTGCCTTAGGTTGACTCATACTCACTATGAACTTCAGCTCAGAATTGCGGAAAATCTGGCTGAAATCTAGTCTGGGAAATATTCTGCTTATTCCTTTCCTGCTTAAGGCAGAGTTCACTGTATATCCACAGTGTTTCCCACAGACAGTCATATTTTCTAAAAAAACCTCTAGTGTTGGTTTTTCCACAGCTTTCTGTAGCAGTTTGAGTGCTTAACTATGTTTGCCACTAAAAAGTTCTTCCTCACGTAAGCTAAATAGTCTGTGTTGTAATTTTAATTTATTATTTCTTTTCCTACCCACTGTGCACATAAAAAGTGACAATTACTTTTTTCCTCTTCCTTCAAAGCAAACTAATTTTCTTTATTGTGCTACAAAGATATTTACAGAAAGTTTTCTTCATTACCTCTTGTGTCCATTCCATACTGTATCCAGGCCTTTATTTTATCTTCCTTCTGGTTTTTGTGTTCCTCTTGTGCTTGACCTCCCAATTAATTTGTTAAGTAAGTTCTTCTCTTAGTTAAGTAAGTCTCTTCCTGTCCTTGCTCTGCATCACTGTGTTTGCAGCTTTTAGCCTGGCATAAGTTTCTTAGGAATTCCCCTAACTTTAGCATTCCCACCTGCTTACTTCCTTGCTAGATAGGAAATTTCTGCTGTGTTTCTTTCCCCAAAAAGTGTTTGGGGTGTTTAAAAGCTCACATTACTTGGATGATTCTCATAGTTACTCAAGAAACAACTCGTGTCTGGCATGTTGATGGTCTGTGGGACATTTCTACGCCTCCATTCTGGACTTCAGTGCAGTGTATCCATGTACACCTTCACTTCTGCCTTTCTTAGGTTCTTGTCCGGGTCATTGCTGCTTATGCTGCCCCATGGGTTCCTGTCACTAATCTCTGCTGAGTCTATTTTAAAACCTTCTTAAGAGGATTAGCAAGCTGACATGCAGGGGCTCTTCCCTCTCCAGAGAGATGAATTCCATCCTTGACTAACAGTTTAAAAAGCAGACAAGTCCTCCTCGTATCATTTGTCTGCCAAGAAAGGCAGTCATTTCCAGGGATTGCCTCTGTGTCTCTTGGGCCTTTGCTCTCAGCTAGAGGGACCAGGTGTAACACAACCTTTCTCTCTTCCTCACCTGCTCCTGCAGTCGCTTGTCTTCTGCTTCAGATCTAGTGAGCGGCAGGAGAATAGTAGCCTGGTTCGGTACGCTTTTGTTAGCATCTGGCTTCAGTCTCCTGGCAGGCCATGCAAGTACCAAATGTTCACAGGTTTGCTTCCTATCTACTTTGCTTGATTTGCTCACTTAAGACTTATAGAGACCCTCAGTATCAGGCCTGAACTTAACTCTGGGACCATTGATCCATGGTGTTTGGTGAAGTCCACAAGGGCTTTGGACTCCACGGGGAATCCAAACCTGATCTGCACACGTCTCAATGTTGGCACTGATTTTTTTTTTCTGTACCTAACCAATTTGGAGTTTTGCATTTTGGGACTACAGCACTGGCTGAATAACAACCCATCCGCTCACAAGTGAGACAGTGTTCAGTGGAGCTGTAACTAAACCTGCTACCTCATTGTTGCTCCGTAGTGTTCATCACGTGCCAAAACTGATACTGATCCTTTGTGGCTAAATAAGCTAAGGCCTTAAGAGGCTTACATCCTCTTCTAATGATTAGTGATGACTCCAGAGATCCTGGCCTTTCTGAATGCCACACACAGCAGAGGAAACACCATTTCTGGTACTGCAGCATAGGTACCATTAAAAGAAAAATGACAAGCAGCATTTTTCTGTGCTTATGTAGCAGTTGATCACATCCATATAAAATTTTTCTTCAAGAAAGTTCTTTTCTGTACCTTGAAGGATCTTGTGATAGATCCTTTAAACATAACTTTCCTCTCATTGACTTCCTCTGCAATGGTAGTCAAAAAGATCCCTAGAAGAGAGCGTGAGTGCTCAGAGACTCCTCGCATAAAGAGATGATTTCTCAGGAACAATAGTTCTTCAAGGAAAAGTTCTTCTGAAAATCCTCCTTTCAACTTCTGTCCTTCTTTTATCTTCTATTTTAATTTTTGAAATCGGTGGGAAGGAGGAAAGAAACTTAAAAATGAGGATTTTTAGCTTCTGTTTTTATGTCAGTCTCTGAATGTTCTTTCCATTTTTAGCTTGAGCAGTTTTTTAAATACAGACTTGATTATAGAATAGACAGGACTAGAAATGAAGCCCTCTAGGCATGGGGTTTTATTTATAAAGTTCAATGATTTGTATTAGTTCTTGAGCAGCTTAAGGCCTTAGACTCGGTAGTGTACTCACTTTCATAAAAGTAAGTTCACACTGCGGTGAACTCCACAGATTATATTTGAGCAGATTTGTATTTATAACCCTTTTGCTATCTACAAATATTTTTCAACAAGAATCCATAGTTTGCCAAGACTATGCAGTTGAGCTGAGTTTTACATCTGCAGCCTGCCAGATGATGTGCATATGCCTAGGGGGTCCAGCCCTTCTCTTTATCATCAGTGTTCCTGTAGGCAACAAACCTTGATCCATAGGCACTCTATTGTGACACCCACATTTCCTGCCTACAGCTCACCAGATCAAAGCAATCCCCATCTAAAGAGCAGCTGGGAATGAGCTGCTGCCACCAGAACAACTCAGACAGATGGACACAAGCTGCTTTTCTTCCTGAAGGCTCCTCAGGCTGTGGCTTAGATGCATTGTTCTTGTGGCAGCAGCCTGCTCTGTACTGGAGGGTCTCTCAGGCCTTTTGCATCCTTCCACCTGTGCCTGTCCTACGATGAGAGATGGGCTGTACAAAATTTCAGAATAATAAATCCAGTGTATATTCCTTCTGTCCCTGGGAAAAGGAAAGACGATGCTCGGAGATGGCTGAGTTGCTTGAGTGGGCTACACACAGCCCATGCTCAATCACTTTGAACACTTGTGCATTGATTGTAAACACCAGATACCAGGCAGAAGTTACCTGTAGTCTCTTTCCTAAAGATAAATAGCCACGCTGCTTTTTCACCAACTACCTTGAGATCATACATCTTTATTTTGTATTTACTTGCTACATTCTTTATCTTTTTGTGGAGTTACTTGAAAGGGAAACAGTAACAGACGTTTAACTGATGGCACATTAAATTCTTTATATATGCAAATAGGAAGAAAGTTTAATATTGTTTGTAGGCAGCTGCATGTGGTTTTTGGTTTTTAGCTGAATTGCAAATTGGCTTTGGTAATTCATTTGCATAAAATTTTAAATGTACATTAAACAAATTACAATATGTTGTTATTTAATATTCATGTGCATTTGATTAGGGTATTCTATCAGCTAATCTTAGTGTGTTTTATTTAGCAAGGTGAAGTGAGGTTGAAGTGTTTGAAAGCTCTTCAGAGTCTGTATACCAACAGAGAGTTATTTCCAAAACTGGAGCTGTTCACTAATAGATTCAAGGTAAGAGGAAATACAATTTTTGGAAGGAGTACAGAAAATAAAAGTATCATCTATCTCATCCTGTTGCGGTCTTTGAGTCATGTATATTAAATGCAAAAATAAACTCATTTGTTTACATTGTAAAGGCTTGTAACTGCAGTAGTAAAACTGTATTACTGCACGCTGAGATTAAGCCAAATTCATTTTACAGTGTTTATTTTGTAAGATTTGTCAGGTTTGGCCAGGATGATTACTTATCTGTTTGTATTCTTGATAGTTTATATATTGTCATTATTTAATCTGCTTGTACTTATTTAATTTTAGGTTTATTGAATTTTAAGGATGTGTACTGGGTGTTTCACACAATCTAAAATAACATCTGAAAGTAACAGCCTGTAACAAAAGATTGTTTGTAAGGCAGCTTTTTAGCTAAATACATGCTTGTGTTTGAAGGAGGAGATACTTTGATCTGCATCACAGTATTTTACACAATGAAATGCCTTGCTGCAGAACAGAA